CAAGCAGGTCATGTGTTTTCTGGACTCAAGTGGGTTGATTGGACTGAGCTACAGGGATCATCTCATTAATCCACAGGCAGGCATGGCATGTCTTAGTAGGTCTACATAGTGCCTAAAAACTTTTTTCAAAGATTGGCACCTGAGGGACTGGCCCTGTGACCGAGTGGTTAAGATCGTGTGCTCCACTGGGGTGGCCCAGGGTTTCACCAGTTCAGATCCTGGGCGCAGACATGGCACTGCTCATCAAACCACGCTGAGGCGGTGTCCCACATGCCACAACCAGAAGGACCCACAACTAAAATATACAACCATGTACTGGGGGGATTTAGGGGTGGTGGGGAACGATTGGCACCATCTGTTGCCAATCTTTTTTCTTCCCCTTCTTCTCCACCCCCAAGCCTCCCAGTACATAGTTGTAGGTCCTTCTGGCTCTGCCATGTGGGATGCTGCCCTAGCGTGGCGTGATGAGCAGTGCTAGGTCATGCCCAGGATCCGAACCCATGAAACCCTGGGCCGCTGAAGCGGAGCATGCGAAGTTAACCACTTGGCCACGGGGCCAGCCCCTAAAAACATTTTTGAAAAAGTACTGGGTAGTATTTTAAAAATTTGCCCGCTTCTCCCAATTTAACATAAAGTTTAAATTTCACAGTCCCACTATGAAGTATATTTGTTGTCTCCTTTTTTTCTTACTACTTCTCCTAGCTGAAGTCCCCCAGTACATAGTTGTACATTCCAGTTGTGGGTCCTGGTTGTGCCTTGCGGGACACCGCCTCAGCATGGCCTGATGAGCAGTGCCATGTCTGCGCCCAGGATCTGCACTGGCAAAACCCTGGGCCGCCAAAGTGGAGCATGCAAACTTAACCACTTGGCCATGGGGCCAGCCCCCATTGTCTCCTTTTTTTATATGAGGAAATCAAGGAGCATTACAGTCTATATTCTATAGTGGATAAGTGGCGGCCAGGATTCAGACTCCGCATTTTGTTGCCTCTCCAAGTGTACCTGTCTACACTTGCCTGTTGCATACTCTGTTGTCCGTCTTCTCACGTTTCCTTATACCTAGAATGTCTTGCAACCTTTCCACTTCTGAACTAAGAACCAGTTCAAGCTTCACCATCTGTGATGACTTGACATTCCTGACTAAACTAATTTCCTTTTGTTTCTAGAGTTGCATGTAAATACTAGTACACTCTATTTTTTGGTTTCTGTTTCTGTTCTGTCTTCTACTAGACTAAGGTTTTTTTTTTTTTTTTTTAAAGATTTTATTTTTTTCCTTTTTCTCCCCAAAGCCCCCCGGTACATAGTTGTATATTCTTCGTTGTGGGTCCTTCTAGTTGTGGCATGTGGGACGCTGCCTGAGCGTGGTTTGATGAGCAGTGCCATGTCCGCGCCCAGGATTCGAACCAACGAAACACTGGGTCGCCTGCAGCAGAGCCCACAAACTTAACCACTCGGCCACTGGGGCCAGCCCCTAGACTAAGCTTTTTGAGGAGTGGGTCTTATTCGTTCTTGTATTTCCAGCATCGGTTTTAGCACATAGTGTTACATGATTGTTGAGATGACATTTTCCACTTTTTAAAATTCAAACCCATTTTAAATTAAAGTCCCATTCAGTACCTGTTAGATTTAAGAGTGTGTTCATTCGTATATTTTATTGAAAAACTGATGTAGTACATTTAGATTTAGAGAGTTTTGATCACTTAGAACCTCCTACCTTTTGGAAAGCCTTATTCATGTAAATAAAACTTTAAATAGGGTCCAGCCCCGTGGCCAAGTGGTTAAGTTTGTGTGCTCTGCTTCGTTGGCCCAGGGTTTCATTGGTTCGAATCCTGGGCGCAGACACAGCACTGCTCATCAAGGCATGCTGAGGTGACGTCCCACATGCCACAACTAGAAGGACCCACAGCTAAAAATACACAACTATGTACTGAGGGGCTTTGGGGAGAAAAAGGAAAAAAAAAATCTTTAAAAAAAACTTTAAATAGCTCTAGAAAATCAGAGGTATTTTAGTTTTAAAAAATAACATTTATTAGACATTTTATGACAAACCTTGAAGCTAGTAGTAATCAGTTTTACAGAACGTTAAGTCACACAATATATGGTAAAGCCCCCAGTCAGATCCAGTGATAAGTGTTATTAAAACTAAGATTTGATAAGTACTATAAGTCCTATGTTGGTATTTCATTACCAAAAATAATTATATGATTTCTTTCCTAGAAATGTTTGAAGTTTGTATTTGCTTATATTTCACAGTCAGAAGGGACCATGGAGATGTGTATTCCTTTTGTTTCAATGATGAGCCTTTTTGAGGATCATGGAGATTGGCCCAGTTTAAACAGAAGGAACAAGTAGTCTTATGTTTATTAGTTATGACAATAAAAGCCCTATTGAAAACAATAAAATCAGTCTTTAGATAGAATCCACTCCAAAACCCTAGAATATACTTCTGTAAACATGGGAATAGAGATTAAAATAAACTTTGATAAGTAAGTGAAAGTAAAATGCACAGAGGTAGTAAAGTTTCATACCTATGAGGGGTGCACACTAAATTTAGTTTTTAAATTATTATATAACCATACAATTTGTAGCTATAAATAGCACTGAATGCTGGCAATAACTATTACTAAGCTATTACAGATAGCTATTACAGTTGTGGGAAACTTGTTAAATAATTTTTGGGCCCTGGGAACTAGGGTTAATAGTCTGAACAGTAAGTGGCATACTCTTTGTCTCTGTCCTCACTCCCCCAAATAAGAGATTCTTAAATATTTTTTATTTATTTATTTGTTTTGTTTTATTTTATTTTTTGAGGAAGATTAGCCCTGAGCTCACTGCTGCCAATCCTCCTCTTTTTTGCTGAGGAAGACTGGCCCTGAACTAATGTCCGTGCCCATCTTCCTCTATTTTATATGTGGGACGCCTACCACAGCATGGCCTGTCGAGTGGTGCCATGTCCGCACCCGGATCCAAACCAGTGAACTCCACGCCGCCGAGAAGCAGAACGTGTGCACTTAACTGCTGCACCACCGGGCCAGCCCCTTAAATATTTTTTAAAATTGAGTATTTGCGTTGATATTTTATTGTGATACACTTAAAGTGGATGCAAGGTTTAACAAATCATACTTTTTAATAGTTAGAAAAGTATGTACCATTTTTAAACATTTCATATGACCATTGGAAGTTTGGAAATAATTTGGAAAGACATTGACCATTTGAGCATACAGAGCCTTTTAAAAAAATAATTTGTAAGAATGATTTTTAAGTTGCAAAGAGTAATCTTAGAAATGAAGTATGAGAAGAACTTCTAAAGAAAATAGTACATACTATGATGTATGGCTATATATAACAGGATAATATTGATATAAGACTAAATTTGTTGAGGGGCCAACCCTGTGGCATAGTGGTTAAGTTCAGTGTGCTCCGTTTCAGCGGCTCAGATTTATGGGTTTGGATCGCCAGCACGCACCTACACCACTCATCAGTCATGCTGTCGTGGCAACCCTCATATAAAGTGAAGGAAGGTTGGCACGGATGTTGGCTTAGGGCTAATCTTCTTCAGCAAAAAGAAAAAACAACTAAATCTGTTGATCAGACAGTCATTTTTGTTTTTCATGACCTTAATTCCTCTGGACTCAGCTTATGGAACCACATTGCTTCAGACAAGCATAAAATAATTGACCTTTGAGGCAGAAAACAATCTATTGTAGATTTAACATCCAGTACTAAGTGTCTAGAAAGAACTCTCATTCAGTCTTAAATTTAACATCTCTCTTTTTTCATATGTCATAGTTGCACAGTTGTGCATTATCTAACAGTGGGATATGTTCTGAGAAATGCATTTATTAGGTGGTTTTGTCATTGTGTGAACATCATAGAATGCACTTACACAAGCCTAGATGGTCTAGCCTACTACACACCTAGGCTATATGGTGCTAATCTTAGGGGACCACTGTTGTATAGGTGGTCCATTGGTGACCGTAATGTTGTTATGTGGCACGTGACTGTACATTGATAATCTACCCAGTAACAATGAAGTCTTTAGTACGTGAAGAAAGGAAGATATTTTGAAGTTTCGCCTACAAGTTTTGGTTTGCAGTGTTATAGAATTAAATATAGGATAGAGAGGTCTTGGAATATATATGAAGGAGTTACAGAACTACCAATGGAAGAAAATTAAAAGTCGATTTCATGTTAATAGTTTTTCCCCCATACCATTTGGTAAAGTACTGGCGTGTATGAAAATATCCAATACGTTTTAGAGCCTGTTAAAGGATCTCTTAAGTGAAAATAGTGAACGAAATTGCTTTAAATGAATATTATTTGTAATTTAGATAATGATTCCCAAATCCTAATCTGTAAATTGGTTCTGGTCTTTTAACAAAGTTAGAGCGATAAGAACAGTGCGATGTGTTTTGTTTTTAAATGAAAATAAACATTTTCCTTTCTTCTGGATGTCATATTTGTTGTTGCTATGGGAAAGGGGCAGTAGTTAAAAGAAGGTAGAAAATGCTGGTAAATCTTTCAGTCATGTACATATTTTACTGAAATCCAGGAGTCTGAAAGTCACTAATTTACCTAACTAATATGGTTTAACAAATGAGATTGTTCTTAAACTTGATTGAAAGATGAAGACCAAGACATGATAAAATAGTTATTTGGCACCCTTTTCCAATATGGTTTTAAAACTGAACAATTTTAAAAAGTCGAGTACCTTGGGGCTGGCCCAGTGGTGTAGTGGTTAAATTTGAGGACTTTGCTTTGGCAACCCAGAGTTTGCTGGTTTGGATCCTGGGTGTGGACCTACACACAGCTCGTCAAGCGACGTTGTGGTGGTGTCCCACATACAAAATATAGGAAGGTTGGCACAGATGTTAGCTCAGGGACAATCTTCCTCAAGCAAAAAAAAAAAAAAAAAAGGAAGATTGGCAACAGATGTTAGTTCAGGGCCAATCTTCCTCACCAGAACAACAACAACAACAAGTACCTTTGTTTTTCTTCACTAGGTTTGTAAATATTATCTCTGTGGTTTTTGTCCTGCGGAATTGTTCACAAACACTCGTTCTGATCTTGGTAAGTAAATTTTCTGTGTAACTTTGTCAAATTTATGATTAAGGAAAACTAGTACTTTATGATTCTGAAAAGCAGTTTTCTCTTAAAGCTTTGTTGATAAAGTAATTTCTTTCCTGGATTAGCTTTTTGTAATAAATAAATGCCAGTCTAATTAAACATGGTGGCTTAATTGAACATACGTGTCTATTTCCACTACGTCCCAAAACCCCTCCAATAAAATGAAAGTGTAAAAAAAAAAGAAGGTGTAATTGGAAGAGGAGCTAACATTAGACATGTCAACAAATGTTTGGAAGATAACAAGTGGATGGAAGAGTAGCAGCAAACTCAACAGAGCAGAGAAACCTGTACCCTAAAAGCCTGCAGAAGGGGATATTACACAGAAGTGAATGTTTGATCAGTAGAACCCTGGGCAGGCTCAGGGTTTGGAGGCACCAGGGATCAGAGAAGGCAAAGTTGAGAGTCATGGGGATGAAATTACGAGAAATTAGTCTAGTTCATGGTTTCTCAGCCTTAACATTTGACCTTTTGAGCTGGATAATTTTGTGTTTTAGGGGTCCATCCTGTGCATTGTAGGATGTTTAGCAGCATCCGTGGTCTCTACCCACTAGATAGGCCAGTAACCCCCTGCAGTTGTAATCCCCTCCAGGCATTGCCACATGTCTCTGGGGGGCAGAGTTGCCCCCTCTTGAGAACAACTAGTCTAGGTGGTCAGACTCTTAAGACCTGTGCATCTGGTGATTCTGCCTCTCCCAACCCTACGCCTGAGGAGACTAGGGTAATTTTCTGGAGAAATTGGACTAAAGAAACTCTAGTTCATCCGAGCCACAAAATGCAAAAAATATAATTGACTATTTCTTCTCCCACGGGTGGTACATAACTAGTATCATTCTAGAAACATCAAAGAGAACTTAATTCATTAAGCACAATGCTTGCCCTAGAGCATTAGGAGGACATTAGGACTGGACAAGTCTAGATAATGGGATCCTAGATACTGCACAGGGCAGTAATGAGTGAAAATGAGACTATAAGAGAGATTAAATGAGTCTGTATTCTTAATAGTGGGGTTTTCCCATTCCCTTCCTCTGCCCTGTTCCTAGAAGGATACAGCCAGATGTTTTTCCCCAGGCAGAAGAGAAGAGGATTCTTTAGAGAAAGTGAACAGTTCCAGAGAAGTGATCTACAGGTACTGACCCTTGGGGACTCTCCTAAAAGAAAGTCTTGCCTGATTTTCCTGTGGTAAAGCCCATTAGTTGACAAAACTGCCTGTGCATACCAGCTTTTAGGCAGATACTGGAAGTGTTTTGCCAGCCGAGGAACAACAGTCAGACATTTGAAGAAAACCTTCGACACGAAAGACTAACAAAACCAACAGAAAAAAAGAATTTAGTGGAAGTAGAGATCATGGGGAAAGCAGAAGAAAAAATTTGTGTCTTAACTAAAGTTAGTATCCTCAGAGAAAGTGAGGATAACAGGAAGATTAGGATGCTATATAAAAAGGGAATTTTTGAAAAACCAAAAAGAGCTCTTGGAAATTAGAACTGGAGAAATCTGAAATCAGTGGAAAGTTTTGAGAATAAAATCAAGGAAATTTGTTGGAATATTGGGTAATTGGACCGAAAAGATTAAAATTAGAAAAAACTCTATCAGTCCAGTGCTCTAATAGCTGATTAAGAGTTCTAGGTAGGGGAAACAGAAGGGAAGAAATTGAAAAATTTGCAGTACTGAAGGATGTTAGTCTCTAGATTGAATGGGTCCTTCAAGTGCTTAGCACAATAAGTGAAAAAAGATCCATACCAAGGCACACCATTGTGAAATTTCAGAACACCAGGGATGGGGGTGGTGGGGCACACAGGATCATGAATCACAGTGGCCTCAGGTTTGTCAGTAACAACACTGAAAGCTTGAAGACATGGGAGAAACACCCTCAGGATTCTGAGTGAAAAAATATTTTTACCTAGGTTAGCTATATAGGCAAACATCAAAGTATGAGGGTGAAAAAAGACCTTTTCAGGCATGCAATGTCTCAACAAATTTATCTCCCATGAGCCTTTTCTCTGGAAACTTCACCAAGATATGGCCATAACCCAAGAAGGAGGAAAAACGACATCCAGTAAACTGCATCCAATATAGACCCGAAAAAGAATTTCTCAGGAAGACAACTCTATTAGTGAGCTTAGGAAATAAGCGGCCCAGACTGAAGCAGGACAGAAAGCTTATGGAAGAAAATGAAGCTGATTATCTGGTATAGTTTGAATCTTGAGGGAAATTAGTATTGAGATAGTTTCTATAGTTGAGTTAGTGTTTGAGAGGAATTTGGAAATGGATCCATAGAAAACTAAACAAATGAAAAAATTACAATAAAAGTATGAAGTTTATCAAAATTGTTATAATGCACCTTTTGTTTGGCTCAGCAGTTAATAGTATTGCATAGTCAGAATATAAACACTGAGTGTTTATTTAACCTAAAATTTTAATGTCTAAGATGAACCAAGAAAAAGCAAAATAAGCATAGAATTTAGAAATAGGTAAAAGGGTTAAAATTGGTTGCCTTTTGGAGGTGGGAGGGGGTAGGACTAGGGTGCTAGCCTTGTACTATTTGACTTCATGTGCAGATACTTGAAATTAATAAAGTGTCAGCGGTGGTTCAGATCAGTGGTCTGCCCTCATCCTAGTTCTTTTCATGAGTGGCAGTGAGGAACAGTTTTCTCTTTCCTCTCACTCCCTCTTTTCTTACCATATTGTAGTTGCTCTCCATTATACTGATCTTGAAGGTCATTATACTGATCTTGAAGGTGAACGGTTTTCGTGTGCCTAACTTGGGCATGTTGCTTCATGATTCAGTAGGCTCAGTTTAGGTGTCTACAGACTACTCAGTGATTAAAAAGGAAGTTTTTTCCTTTTTTAAAAAAAAAGAACTTTTGGCAAGAGAAAAGGTTGTTGATGTCACCAATAATTGCTACATTCATATCTCTCATTCTTTTTTTTTCAGGTCCATGTGAAAAAATTCATGATGAAAATCTACGAAAACAGTAAGTTACCTTTTTTTGGTCATTTTTTTCCTCCCTAGTCATTATTGAAGAAGTAATTGGAATTAGTGTAAAATCAATGTCTGGTGGAGGTCCTATTCATTACCTGGGGGTGGTAGAAAGTCATAGAGCTTCAATAATGATACTGGTAGCCATCATACTATATACCAAGCATAAAGCCCAAGCTTTTTTATTTTTTTCTTTTTTAAAATCACATTTGCCTTTTTAACAGCCCTGATTTGATAGACGAGACGAGACCTGTCCTGGGTCCACGGTCACAGATCCACTGTAGTGGTAGAGCTGGTGTCTGAGCACCCAGATTGTAAAATCTGTGCTCCTAACCACATATAAAGCTAGATACTGCCTTCCATTTACTGGGATGAGGGACAACCAGAAAGTTACTTATACACCTGGTTTACTCTTGAGCCTAAATGCAACAGTCCATGAGACTAGTTAAGATAGAATGTGTGAGTTGTAATGGATAAAGATTTGGACAGGAAATATTGCATGTTTGTTATCATTTTTATCAGGTATGAGAAGAGTTCTCGTTTTATGAAAGTTGGCTATGAGAGAGATTTTCTGCGATACTTACAGAGCTTACTTGCAGAAGTAGAACGTAGAATTAGACGAGGCCATGCTCGTTTGGCATTATCTCAAAACCAGCAGTCCTCTGGGGTGAGTATGAAGTTAATTTACAGCCTTTATAAAGTGTCCTTGTTCTCTGGAGACCCAGAGACCTCCCTAATATTGAAACTTGTGTTCAAGTTCATTTATTACTTTGTGTTCTTTTAGAATGATTTAAAACTTAGAAGGCGTTCATTTTTCTTAGTCTTTATTACTTTATTAGTAAATATAATATTGATTTTGCTGATCTTAAGATTTTTCTCTTAAATATCGGTAACTGACAAAATATGTAATTGATGAACAGAAATTGAAGATAATAGAGTTACTATCCTTGTGATTCAACATTTTAACTATTGGATACAAATATTATGTATTTTATGTGAGAGTTTGAATATTTCTTTCTTTTTTACTTGTTGAAAATACCTTTTATTGTCTTCAATAGGCAGCTGGCCCAACAGGCAAAAATGAAGAAAAAATTCAGGTTCTGACAGATAAAATTGATGTACTCCTGCAGCAGGTGAGAATTGTGTGCATTAATGTCAGAAAGTACTTGAAATAGACACTTAGCCAAAGAAGATAGAATGATGGCAGTTAAGTGTATGTAAAGGTGCTCAGTGTCATAGTCATTATGGAAATACAGAAGAAAACCACAGTGAGATACTTATTGTATACCTATTAGAATGGCTAAAATTAAAGAAACTGCCCATACCAAGTGTTAGTGAAAATGTGGGCAAACTGGAACTATCATATATTGTTGATGGAATTTAAAATGGCGCACCCAGTTTGGAAAACAATTTATCTGTTTCTAAAAAAGTTAAAAGATGCACCATGAGCCATTCCTCTCCTAGATATTTACCCAAGAGAAATTAAAACATATAGTTTACACAAGAGTTGTATACCAATGTTTGGGGCAGCTTTAGTCATAATAGGCAAAAACCCTAAAAAAACTACAACTCAAATGTCTATCAACAGCTAAATGAATAAACAAATTGTCATGTATTCATGCAGTGGAATACTACTCCATAATAAAAAGGAATTAACTACATGTAACAGTATGAATGAATCTTAAGATAATTAGGCTGAGTGAAAGAAGCCAGACCAAAAAAAATAGGAATAAAAAGTGGATGGTTCCGTGTATATAAAATTCTAGAAAATGCAAACTAATCTGTAGTAACAGAAAGCAGATCATTGGGTGCTTGGGGAGGAGATAGTACAATGTAAGAGACAGGAGGAAACTTTTTGGGGTAAGGGATGCGTTCATTATTTAGATAACGGTGTTGGTTTTATGGGGTCAAAACTTAGCAAATCATGTTCCTTAAAAATGTACGGTCTATATTGCATGTCAAGTATACTTCATTAATGTTGTGAAAAATCAAAAGGGTAAATTAAAGCCAGAGGTTTCAGTAAACAAAACCAAACAAAAATTCCATTTAACAACCACTGAAAGCAAGTGAAGCTTGAGGAAGAGAGTTCCTGGGTAGTTTGGTTAGAAAGGAGTCTTGACTGCTTTTTTTTTATCCCCCTTAGATTGAAGAATTAGGATCTGAAGGAAAAGTAGAAGAAGCCCAGGGAATGATGAAATTAGTTGAACAGTTAAAAGAAGAGAGAGAATTGCTTAGGTCTACAACCTCGGTAAGTAGCAACCTCATTTTGATTTACCCAGACTGTTCACTGTGAATTAGTAGGACCTATTCCTATTTGAGAACCTTTGTAAACAATTTTCTGACGTCCTAAATCAAGAGTCAAGCAGCTTTATCTTAAAGGGCCACATAGTAAATATTGTAGGTTTGCAGGCCACAAGGTCCCTGACAGCTACTAGGCTCTGCCTTTATATCATGTATAAAGCAGCTTTAGACAATACATAAACAAATGGGTGGGACTGTTCCAATAAAACTTCATTTACAGAAACAAACCTCTACCTGCTGCCTTGCCAACCCATGTCTTGGGTCATAAGTATTCATTTGTTCCTGGGTTTTATTTTATTTTTTGTTATGATAAATTACTCAGTACATATTTACCTCAGCTCAAAATTAGTATACTCTTAAAATATCTTCTGCCTTCTTAACTGTTTTAATTAGAGAATCTAATATACATGTTTTGGATATTGATGGTGGAATATAATTGATCATTGGTTCTCAAATATTGAATAGGATATGTTCAGATTACACTCAATGAGTTAATTTCCCTAATAATTTTGAAAAGCATTTTTAATATGGAGGCCACACCTTTAGCCTATTGAACCTAAGTAAGAACTGAATTCAGACTAAAATAAGTAGCTTTCTGAAAGGTAGTTTAACTTTTTCAAGGTGATGTGGGTAATTCAGCGGTTGCAGTTGAGTGATGAGATCTCAACACTTCCTGGATGATATGGAAAGTTGGTTGCTGTTGCCATGCTTCCTCTCTCTAAAAGATGACCAGTTGCTGCTCAGTATTATGGCTTTGGGGAAATGGAAGGTAGCAATTCACAATATTAGAAATCTATTCTAAATATTAAGTATTTTGGGGGGGATTTATTTATTCTCTCTTCCTCAGATATTCTTATGATAATTGATTTATCATTTCAGACAATTGAAAGTTTTGCTGCCCAAGAAAAACAAATGGAAGTTTGTGAAGTGTGTGGAGCTTTTTTGATAGTAGGAGATGCCCAGTCCCGGGTAGATGACCATTTGATGGGAAAACAGCACATGGGCTATGCCAAAATTAAAGCTACTGTAGAAGAATTAAAAGTAAGTTTCTTCTAAACGTGTATTTTAGCTATAGCTCATGTTGTATTTTATTATGGCAAATAAATGATCACACCGAGACAGAAACCTCATTGATGTTTTACTGATGTGTATTATTTGAAGCAGTGATAATACATAGGAAATTTTGCTGTTCATCAGATTATCAAAGCACTGTATTTTCTTCACTCTTTAGTGCCAGGAATTTGGGGGAAAGAATATTCCTTAGGATTTAGTCAAGTAATGGTTTCTTGTGTTCATACATGATGTTGGAGTTTCTGCATTTCCCTTTCAGGGCATCAGATTCCATAAGTTGGTCTGCAGATGCCTCCCCTTAGGTAACTGTTGTTTGACAGTGTCTTTAAGGTTATAGTTATATAAAAATCAAACCTAATTTCTTCAGGAAAAGTTAAGAAAAAGAACTGAAGAACCTGATCGTGATGAGCGTTTAAAAAAGGAGAAGCAAGAACGAGAAGAAAGAGAAAAAGAACGGGAGAGAGAAAGGGAAGAAAGAGAAAGGAAGAGACGAAGAGAAGAGGAAGAAAGAGAAAAGGAAAGGGCTAGAGACAGAGAAAGAAGAAAGAGAAGTCGTTCCCGAAGTCGGCACTCAAGCCGAACTTCTGACCGAAGATGCAGCAGGTCTCGGGACCACAAAAGATCACGAAGTAGAGAAAGACGGCGAAGCAGGTACATAGAACACATGAGACAGTGCCCGGCACGTAGTGAGCGTGCAGTAAACAGTATTAATTACTAGTGTTATTCCTTGGAACTTGGGAAGCTCTTAAGTATTGTTAAGCACTAGGATGGATTATGAGAGTTGAGTCAGTAAGAGCAAGTCCGTCTTCAAGTTTCCCACCAGTATTAGGGGGTTTGATGCTATCTTATTAGGAGGTCAGTGTACCCAGGTGGTCTCTTAAGTGCTTCTCTTCTCATTGATTTTAAGAAGATAGTTAAATTATTAGTTATGTTGAGTAAGGTTACCTACTTTTGCTTTGAACAACATCAAGCGCAATATAAGAACTAAAATGTCATGTAACTAATTCTTTAAAAACATGAAAAAATAAATTTTACCATTTTAATTAGAGTTGTGATTAAAGAAGAGGAGTCTTAAAGAGCACAGTGATAACTATGTGAGCACTATTTGAAAAATTGAAGTTAGAAAGATTTGCAGTAATTTTCAGTTAAGATTTCTAATATAAATATGTTTTAGTAGTAGATTCTATCCATTTGCCTTTTAAGGGTAAGTTTTGCTTAATCTTGTTAATTGTTCAATATATAATTCAAGATTTTTCCTCACTGTAATACCAGCTGAAGTTGCTTTCCTTTTGTTTTAAATTAAGAAGTAGAGATCGACGAAGAAGCAGAAGCCATGATAGATCAGAAAGAAAGCATAGATCTCGTAGTCGGGATAGAAGAAGATCAAAAAGCCGCGATCGAAAGTCATATAAGCACAGGAGCAAAAGCCGGGACAGAGAGCAAGATGGAAAATCCAAGGAGAAAGGTTAGTTTGTGTGAGAATTTCATTCAGTAAGAGACTGTTTCACACACTTGTCTCCCCACTTACTTTTCTTTGGCCCTAGACAGAGTTCCATGTCAAGCTCTATTCCTTTTCCCTTAACAAAGTCCTTCACTAAGAGGCAGGCATTATTTTCCCCTCTCCTCTGATTTGTGAGAATGACAGTTACCCTGATGTTTTTCTTAGTACATGTCAAAACCACATTTTTCAATTTATAAGCTGAAGTTTTATCGTCTAGATTCTTCCAAGTATTGCATTATCTTTCAGGGTTATTAGGCTGTAGAATTTATTAACTTGGTTATTGGCAACCTTTTTTTTTAATCTGCAGTGTTCCATAATATGTCTTACAGAGTAAATGTGTATTGGTCCTCATGTACAGTGTTCATTTAAGTCAGTAATTAACTTCTAAGGTCACAGAAGTTGAATAGCTTACATGTGTTTTAACCATCTTTTCTATTGAAACAACATGCTGTTTTCCCTCTCCTTTCTTCCTTGGTTTTCTGTGGTGTTCCAGTAGCTGGTTCACTGCGCACTATTAGTGGACCTTTTCATTTTGTGTTTGGCATGTTTTCACAAGGATATTGTCATCTTTTAACTTAGCCTTTACTGAAAGATAATTCTTTCAATCATCAGGGTCTCTTTTCTGCATTTTCTTCAGATTCTTTGAGCATCTTTCATTTTGTATTGACTGGGCTGTTCTGCTTTGCATGGTTTTTAGGAATGAGAGAAAGGACCTATTTTCTAATTTTCTTGGCTCTGCTTGTTCCATCCTGTTCTGCCTGTGTTCATGTTTGATCACCAACATGATATATGTGCTGCTGGGCTTTATTTGATAGTCATTTCTGATTTTCTTTTATGGAACTATCGTATAGTTTTTGTTTTTTTGTGGGTTTTTGAGGGCTAGGTTTTGGCTAGACTGAGTTAGAGGACCAGCAGCACAAACAGTGGACATACTTTTTGATCTTCTGCTTTTATTTTTCCTTAAAAAGTACACCTTCTCTCTTAAAAATATTTGCATATATTGCCCTTTTCTACAACATGGAGCAAATGTTAAAAAGTAGCAAACAAGGATGATTTTTAAAACCTACTGTCATGAACTTTAGTATTTACCATTTAAGTTCAGAAATTACTTCTGCATTTCAAAAAACAATTGCTACAAAACGTTGACTGATTTTTACATTGGTTTTAAGAAAGTTTCACTCAACCTTTTTGCAAGATTTTCTGTGCAATGTATTTTGGGGTGAGGGGTCAACCCTCAAGAGCCAGTTATAAGGTGTCAGATCAAATCGGTCACTTCTCTTTGAGAACTAAAGCTCTTTGCCGTACCATCATTCGTGTCACTTGACATAGTTGGATTGGTTCTCAGGGACAAGAGCTAGCTAGCCTTCATGACTATCTGGGATTAAGTTGAGCAGTAAATGGCGCTGGCCTGACTCAAAACAGGTGTGTTAGTGTAGTTTCTCGAGAGAGCAAAAAAGATGTCCTGAGTTGCTCAGCTGTAATCCTAATTGTAATGATGACGTTGTGGAATTTAATAAAACTTTTAAGTAAAATAAGCTGCGTTGGTTTAGATTATGGATAAACAAGGATTTTCCTGATGCGATACGGAGGAAGGAGAGAAGACTTGATTCAGAGAAAACTCGGCATCAGGTCCGTCTTGAAAGATTGGATATGCCGTTATAGATTTATCATAAACTTTGGGATCTCTTTAGAAGTCCTGATTTACTGGCTTTTGAACATGCCATCTAGCTATTCGGGCACTCACAGGTATACAGATGACTGAAAGCTTGAACTCTGAGGCCACGTCGGAGCAGTAGCAAGCGTTTGATTGTAGCAGATGCGTGAGAGGGAGTTCACTGCTCCAGGTGCTCCGGTGGAGGCAGTTCATCGGACTCCACACATGAAAAGTGGTTTCTCACACAGATCTGTCCTTACCACCGACCAGTGGAGGGGGCTCTCTTTGTCTAGAGAGGCTTCCTTTTTTAATCCTTAGCCCTAAAATCCACTACACTTTGTGGATGTCCTCAGGACTATTAAGATCTACCATATTTACATAGGGCAGAAGATAAGATTATTGGACTGACTACTAGTCCTCTACGGGGCAACAAGACGACTCTTCCTCATTGAAGCTACCTGTGCACCGGAGAAGCCCATAAGGCACAAAGGGAGGACTTTCCCACAAGGTCAGTTAGAGCATACTGTACTGGCACGGTTCCCATAAGTGGACAGATAGACATGAAGCAAGTCCTGCAGTCAGCTCCATGGACGTTGCTTCGTGCATCCTGCAAGTGTTATGGACTGAACATGCTCCTTCACATAAGATCTTCAATTCTTACACTCTTGAATGAGTGCCCCCCCTGCCTTATTTTGTTTTCATTGCCAGTTATTTGATGTTGTGTCTTAACAGCTTTGTCCAGAATCTGTAGAGGGTTCTGCTTCTCTTAAAATATCTTCCTGTCTTATGAACAACTCTGCTAGCCCAGCTATTCTTAACTTAAAGGTTTAAGGGGAAAAATAATTCTTCCAGAAAGTTTGTAGTTTGCTTTAACGTTTCTGTAGAAGTCTTTTGTAGGCAATACTTGGATCTAAAAAAATCTAGAATATGCTTGCTCTGTGTACCACTCTTTGCCTCTAGTCGGTTTCACCATTCCAAAGACAATGGGGAAAAGTTGAGATTTACTTTTTTCATTCTTTGTTTGCAGCTGAGTTGAATTTTAATTTCTCCTTTTGGAAAAACAACTCCCAGATGGCATATATATTACTTGTCTTAGCAAAGCACTGAAGTTCAGTACTTGGAATGGGATTTAAGATCCCCTTTCTTTCATTGGCTTGTCTCTCTTGGGTATTCAAATATATATATGTATGTAACCTGTACATTTAAAAATAGTTGGAGAAATATGCCTGTCAGCTTTTTTTGCTTTTGTAGTTACTATTTTTACCTAAGTTAGTGATTTACTTCATGTGAACACAGTTTTTGTGTACTATCTTTCATCCTTTCCCGTTTCTTTTGTATGTTCTTTATCACAAATGAAATTTACTTTCAAATTTTGTATTGTGCAGTGATTTGGAGTTCCTGTAGTTAATAGCTTCTCACCAATTTGAGGGAGTTTGCCCACTATTTTACCTTTTGTTTTCCCTTAATTCCCCATCGTACCCTCTTCCTCCTCTGTAAATTGCAAATTTTATCCCTTTGATAGATTCACCAAACTGTGTTACTTACAGTCTGTGGGAAATGATTGTCTTTTCATCTCTCAATTGTTTTCGCTTTTCTAAGTGTCATGTCTGTATTGTATTTTGCTTTAAAATCCATGGTCACTGTCTTCTTTTATGGCAGAAAAGAGGGGATCTGATGATAAAAAAAGTAGTGTGAAGTCCAGTAGTCGAGAAAAACAGAGTGAAGACACAAACACTGAATCAAAGGAAAGTGATACTAAGAATGAGGTCAATGGGACCAGTGAAGACATTAAATCTGAAGGTGACACTCAGTCCAATTAAAACTGATCTGATAAGACCTCAGATCAGACAGAGGTAAGTGTATTGTTTCTCACTTTGATTAGGGCTTTTTGTTACTGTTTGACAGTGCAGCGTAAGTATGCACAGATGAAGATGGAACTAAGCCGAGTAAGAAGACATACAAAAGCATCTTCTGAAGGAAAAGACAGTGTAGTCCTGCAAAACATTTTGAGGTACATTGTTTTGTCTCAGCTATTTTGTAGCAGACTCGTGCCCCCGTTAGTGTGCCTCTTTGGAAATTATTGCCCACGTTTGTAATATAGTCGCCATTGAAAAGTTAATTATCCTTTTTTTAGGGATTTTGCTGTCATTTCTTTTTTTTTTAATAAAAAGGTTGAACTGTTTTTTTTTTCTTTTTGGTATTAAGTCCATCTTGTGTTGGTACATTGGCAGAGACATATGCTTTAAAAACTTAAATATTTCTGAGGCACATGTTGGACTACTTTGTTTTAATTAAACTGCTAGTATTTCTTTGTCAAGGATGTTTCTAGTTTTTTGCTTTATTGCCTTGCATTCTAATGCAGTTTGTTCTGTAACTCGAGAGCCAGTAGCATTGGATTGATGGAAGTGTAGGGTTTATGAATTATTGCAGCTGACTACCATACCTCACACAGCGTTGGTGTTGTGAGCGGCCCATGAAAAGCCAAATTAAAAATCAAGGATTCAGTCAAACTAAGCAGGTACTCATGCCAGGTACTCCTTTCTCTACCCACATCCATGTTTGAATGCTATTGCCTGTGATCTTTACGCTTAACTGTTGTGTATCTTTTTTGTTCTTTACAAGAAGCACAGAGGGGTTTTTTGTGTATTGCGTGAAAACTTATAAATCAAATGTTAACAGAATGGAATTTTTTTTCAACTGTATGTAGGGATGCAGTGGTGCCCAGAATTAGATATCTTTAAAGAATTTTAAATACAATAAACACTTCATATTATTCGCCTTGTTACATTCAATGCAATTCTCAAGTCTTTAAGAGGTATGTGTTTAATATTTCCTACTGTGTAGGAGAATTTGCAGTCCTCCATAGATACACAGGAATAGTCACTGGCTGATACACTTACAGCAGCAGTGAATAGTAAGGACAGACACCTTCAATCTGTGAAATACAAAGAACGGATCAACCATATAGGATGAATTTGGGTTTTTAAAGAACTATTAAATTCAGGTTTTATAAGAGTTCTTAAAACCTGTGAACTGTTCATTCTTTGGGCTAGTGGCATGGGATAAAATATTCCTAATGAAAGGAAGTACAATTAGTTGATTTGTCAATGGCATTCCTTTTCTAGGACAGTAATATAGTGTTATGTGTGTGAGCCATTCACACATAGGCAAGCATACACAGGCACATGGCTTTAAGACCGAACTGATGCCTTGATAATTAAAAAGAATACAAACAATCCATATACATATATTAATTAGCAGTTAGTGACTGGGCCAACACTTAGTCATAAAAATTTGCCTTTTATGTGTTGTCTAATTATCATTTTTCCCCAAATTTTGCATTGTAGGACTACTGTTCGAAGATTTTTGGAAGAATACTGAAAACGACATAAAATGAAGATCGACATTAAAATGAGGTGAAAGAAAACTATAGTGGCATAGAAAAAGTATAAAGCTCAGTTAGTTGTTTTTTTTTTTTTTAATTAAAAATTAATTCAGGACTGATGTGACCTACCAGATTTCAGAACATGTGTTAATAGCATATATATGCCACTGAAAACTTAGGTCCTGTATCATATTTTTTTCTTTAAGACTTTTTAAGAAATATTACTTAACATGTGGCTTGCTCAGTGTTTAATTGCAAGTTTTCATTCTTGGACTTTGAAAACGGGATTAAACGTTGGTATTTGTGTGAATCAGACTAAGTGGGATTCCATTTTTACAACTCTGCTATACCTAGCCTTTGGATTTAGAAGTGAAAATAAAGTATCTCTGACTTTCTGTTACAAATTTGATTGTCTCTGTCATTGAAAAGTTTTAGTATTAATCTTTTTCTAATAAAGTTATTGACTCTGAACTAGTCCCTTGTTTTAAATATGAGGTACACTGTTACTAGAGGTGTTGGTGTACAGTTTTATCTGATTTGTTCTGTTTAAGACTAATTTTTATAGAATTTCCACATTTCAAATGTTTTAAATAATGGTGCTTCAATTTTGGATATGAATAAATTTGGTTCTGAATAAATTTGAATTTTGCTTTTAATAGTGAAGATGTACAGTGAACTAGAATATATTTTTACATCTTTGAGAGATTTCCTTAGCAGTAGAAAATTAAAAATATCCTTCTGACCAAAACTATCATCCTCTAGTTATGAAATGATATAGAAGCGCATTCAAGAACTTTTAGCTAGTTTTTCGTTTTTTTTAAATCTTGTATCAAGATTTCTTTTAACTTGATATTGTCAGATTACAGATGTATTTATTTCTGTGTATAGGCTGTGTAGTACGTATAGCAAGGATTTTTTAAAAAACTGATACATAAGCAGGTGATTTTTTTTTGTCACATACAGCAGGTTGGCAGCATGTTTCTATCTAAAGCCAGCTTTGTTGACTGTATAAAAGTATTATTTCCAGCTACATATATAATAGCAATTCTCTGTGCTTTATAATTTCCAGATAGTACCATCAGTTTATAAGTAGAGAAACTGAGTAAGTGGGTTAAATGACTTCCCCAAGGTCATATGGCTCCATGTTGTTGGAGAGCTAGCACATGGAATCTAGGTCTCTGCCTCATGGTCAAATGCCTCACTATTATGATGAGACTATTCATTCTAATAGGTATAATGAACCATTACAGAATTTCCTAAAGCACCTTCCACCAAGCTTTGGAAAATAATGAAGCCGCTACTTCAGAGGCTCCGTATGAGATAATGTTATGGGGACAGAGCACTCCTGGCTTACCTAGCTGACCGTGGAGATGCAGCAGGAGGTGAATGGGTTATCTCTGAAATTTGTTAGAGATGATTGACATAGGGTTAAGATGAGATGGGAAACAATCTTACACAAAGTCAGCCACCTCTCAAGTACTACGTTGTGTAGTTTGATGAGATTGTGGTTGTAGAAGTAAAGGACTGAAAGTGATAGTTTACCATGTTCTGTTACTAAGTATAAAGAAAATCAGAAGACAAGACATTTGCTAAATTATTAAGGTGCTAAAATGCCAGATTTGTTCTGTTCTGCTTCATCTAGAATCAGTAGCTAACTTATTTTCAGTGAAGTACAGTAATGAGTTCATGAAAGTCTTCCTCTTCACCTCTACAGACAGATCTGTAGATCACTCTGAAGTTATGTAGGATTTGAGCGGGAGGTCTGGTCCCTTAGGGTGTCCATGACTAAGGTCTGGTCTTCGTTGTAGAGATCTAGATGTTGGGTTACCCCAGATACCCCAAATTTATCTGGCTCAAGAGGAAATGATTCTTACTAACCATATTAACAAGAATCCAATATAGAGGCCATGTGCTAATAGAAGAAATAACGTTTCTGCTGTGCAGACCAAAAAGTTGTCAGTTGGTTATTGCAGATTTTTCTCTTTGAAAAGCCTTAAGGGGAGCCACTTTTTATTAATCAGAAGATTATTTGATAAGATTACAGTCAGAGAATCTATTGATTTTTTTTAACTTTTTAGTTTGGAAAATTTAAGACATACACAAAAGTAGAACAGTATAATTAACCTCTCTTAAAACCAATCACCAGTAAGGCTCAATGGCCAGTCTTCGTGTGTGTGTGTGTGTGTGTGTGTGTGTGTGTGTTTGTGTACATATATTTCCTGCCCCCTATCATTTTCAAGCAAGTCTCAGACATATCATTTAATCTGTAAATACTTAAGCATGTAATCTCTAAAAGATAAGGACTCAAAAACTAGTTCAGTAGTTAAAATAAATTGGATGAACTTTCAGTTGCCCAAAGTCATCAACTGTAGTACTGGTCTGATAGCTTACTTTTCACTGTGCCTCAAAGGGACCAGGTAATTGAGTCTGCTACTTAGGCATCCTCCCCTCTGCAGTGTAGGGAGAGACTATGCATGCGTCATCTCCCTTTATGTGAAGACATATTTTTCCTTCAAACGTCACAATGCATTTATTTTTCAGTTTGGATTAAAACAGCTTTCTTGCCTTCTTGAGCTTCTAAGATTGCCCAGCTTAGGTGTTTACATCTTCTCCTCGTAGACAGCATTACTTACCTGCAGGATCTGTCTAGGTTTTTTCAGTGTAGTGTTGCAGAGGATAACTGACCCTATATCCAAGGTCTACGAACACTTTGATTACATGTGGGTTGACTTCAGCCACCTTCTGATTAAAGTTTCTAGAGAGGTTAAAACTGAACAGTTTAGGATGGAATTTTCTTGAGCTTGCATACATTCTATGACTTTAAAAATGCATTGTAGATGAGCTGTGTGACTATTTTTAAGTATTCTAAAGTGCATGAAACAAACACTTGAATTTATTATGTATCTTTTCTGTGAGATGTTTCTTCATTCAGGGTTTGTTTTCAAGTTTGAGTTCTGATTGAAGTTTAGTTATTTATGAAAGAACCCCAGGCAACTACTTTTTTAAACTTTTGTATTGTAATGCTTGTACATGGTTCAAAAAAACCCAATAGAAATGTTTAGTGATCTGTGTCTCCCTTCTGCTTCTGTCCCTTCTGTTCTTCCTCTCCAGGAGCTACTACTGTTAACAGTGTTCTTCCAAGTGGTGGTTTTTTTTGTGGGGAGCTGGGGGGGTGTAAGCGTATATGTATAGATCTTTTTTATATATGATAGTACGTCATATGTTCTGAATCTTGCTGTTTCACTTAGTATATTTAGAATCATTTATTTTGAGAAATAGGAGATAGCACTTTGAAGTTTAAAATTGTAGTTTTTAAAAGTACATTTCAAGTAAACCAAAGCAGAGAAGTAAATGTAGTTTTCATTGTTGTATCAGATTTTGAATTTCCTCTTTTAAAAATGCAGCTTGAGAGTTTGATAGTTGATCTATTTCTTTCCCTCAGCCATCTCAAGTAGGTCAGTTGTCAACAGCTTTAAGAATGTTTAGGAACAACAGCTTTGGCAAACAACTTGGCATAAATGGCTGTGCCGTAATTTCTCTTGTGGCTATTTCACCCCTAGATAACATACCATAGAGAGAAACTTTTAACATATGTGTACCAGGAGATGGATGTAAAAATGTCATAACAGCATCGTTTGTAATAGGAAGAAAAGGAAACAAAAATAAAAACTGGAAAGATCCCAAATGTCCACCCACAGTCCACTGGATAAATATTGTGGTATATTCCTACAGTGGAATTCCACAGACGTCAGACTGAACTACAGCTACATATGTGAACGTGGTTGAATCTCAACATAATGGTCACAAAAGGAAGTTCCAGAAGAATACATCCACTATGGTTCCATTTCTATGAAGGTCAAAACCAGGCTGTCACATATATATGTGGTAAACAAAAGAAAAGTAAGGAAATGATTAACACAGAATTCAATGTTATCCTTTGCATTGGAGGATGGAGGCAGATGAGAACTGTGGAGGGCAAGGAGGAGCCTTGAGAGGAACTGGTGGTGGTGCTCTGTTGCTAAAGCTGGGTGGGTGGTTTCTTTTTTAAACTATGTTGATGTGCTTTTGTATATATGATGTTTCTTAATAAAATTTAAATTTAAAAAAAGAATGGGAAAAGGTCTTGGTGTAGGTAGTGACTAATAAAGTAGATAAATAAGTATAATGTATTTCATGAAATTAACCCTTCAATGAGTGGCAGATTTAAGAGGTACTGTGCTTTGGATGCCAGCCAAATTTAGGTTCTTAATTGTAGTTCTTTAAAAAGTTAGAAACAGGACCTAAATCTGGGTTTTCTTTGTGATATCTTGTTTTTATCTTGATGTAATTTTCATGTGGGTGTTAGGCCAAAAGCTGATGCTTTTGTACTGCTTGTCTAAGCAGCTTCCAAGGAAGCTTTTCTCAGACTTAGGCCATTCGAGGCTGGGGTGAGAACAGCCAATACTCCTGACCCATGTGTCAGCATGTCCCTCCCTTTGTTCACATTAGATTGTCATGCTAGAGAGGCTGCTGCTACTTTTAGTAGGGTACCTTGAAGTGTTAGGAAAATTTGCCCTTTAGAAGGGAGTGGTTGAAACTTGAAATGTACCTGCAGGTGCATAGAATTCACATAGTTAAGGCCTTTTATCAGCACTGGCCCTCTTAGCACAATCATGCTCCCCAGGTGAGACTTGGACTCCCCCCCCCCACTTCGTGAGCTCAGGGCTTAGCAGTGAGTTCATTCAGCGCATCCCTGAGTGCTACTTTCGGGCCAGGTGCTTTTCTCTGATACCTTGTGTCCAACTGAACAGAGTAGGGGCAGCTCCTTACCCTATTGAAGTCTGCCCTCCCAGCGACTCCCCTTAGGCCTAAGAGTGGTGTAGGAAGGACTTCTGCTCTGAGGAGAGTGGAAGAGGGCAGTGCTGTGAGTTACTAGTCACCCCATTGTAAATGAACATAGGTTGTGAACAACTAAGAATTCTAGATCATTCCATATTTTAACTTAAGTGTGTTCCGGAACTTTTTAGGATTACATTCTGGTACCTGGTTCATTTCAGTGATTTAAAAATATTAAAATGGCATAAAAATCTTTTAGTGAAATTGCACCGTAATCAAATTAATTTTTGCAATCTATGCATGAAGTGAAAACTGCAATAAAAATTACTCTTGAAGCTCTTCAAATTTTTATTCTTCATCTGCAGCCTTAAGACTATTCATGTTATAGAAAGGTTTTCTTTTATTTTTGGCACAGGCTGTGTTTATTAACTTGGAAGGGATATTGAATTTGCTGGTCAACTTTGTGAATTAAGTTGCCCTCATTGATCTTATTGTAATTAACCACTAGGCAACACATGTGTAGGCTGTCAGGATAGTGTAAGCTTTCCTTCCAATAGTAAATTTTTTCAAATTTATTCTATCCATGTTCACTTAAAAACACAACCTAAAAATCTAATTTTTCCACAAATGGTGCTTTGGGGCCATTAACATGACTAACCCTGAGCCCCTTCCAAAATTTTCCTTATTCAAAACAAAAACTGAAAATACCTTAGGGTGGTGGCACTTGGGGACTGACCTCCTGTCATCCCCTATCACAATCCTCTGGCATTGGAACACTGAGCACTAGGTGCAATTGGCTTTCGTTAGAGGCCATGCTGTATTTTAAGAACACATGAATGTGACTTGGATGCTGAGCTTACATTCATGCGAAGGTCGCTTCTACCATAAGAGGCCCATGGATACCTAGCAGATTGCAGATTCGATCTCATAGTCATTACATTCCATGGATGAAATGGTACACACTTCTGCACCTGCCCTATTTAGAACATTTTCTCTTCTTTGAACAATTGGGTGAGAAATGTTCATGTAATGCCTGTGTCCCTTCCTCACCCTTCATCAAAACTGAGCATGGAGAGTTTGGAGATGAGGGGACAGCGGCCTGTTTCATGTGCTGGGGAGACAAGGAAGACACTGATTGCACAGAAGCTCTCTGCTATTTTATCCCTCAGTTCCATAAGAGTTAGAGACAACTACACAGTCTAGGAGTAATGGGTGTGTAAAGAAGTGACAGTGTGGTGTGTGTTAATAAAAGCGTGTAAAGGAGGTCCAGCAGCTACATGAATGCTTCCCAAGTACAAGCACTTGTTAACTAGACGTTAGAGTTGACCTAGAAAGATTCTAGGCAGTGTGGTAGGGAGGCACCTAGTGTGGAATGTGACGACAGCCCACCTTTGAGCTAGTTGTTAGCTTGTCAGCTCTGGTTGGTTTCACCTGAGTAGAGTTCAGTGCTGTGGGCTGTGCCTTGGACATTCTGCAAGTTGTGTGAAAAATAGCCTCAAAGGTAGTTGCTCAAGTCATATAAGTCATGCCATTTTGTAGGTAGATTAAAGGTGTAAATAGGAAATGATAGTATGACATGCATTTAAAAACAAGGAGTACTGGTTGAAGCCCTGTGCCAAGTGGGTCCCGGCCTTCCCAGCTGCATCAGCGCAGCCTCCCCCTCCAGGGTTCATGTGAACAGACCCTGGCCATTTGTCCTGAGCGAGTCCCAGCAGTGCATACCTGTGCCTCGTTAGGGTTGAGGTACAACTGTACAAAATAAACATGCATTGGTAAGTATCATAATACTTTTTTTATAGTTCTATTTGTCAAAGCGCTTTGAATTTACTCTTCTCCCAGCCCAGAGAAGTTGGAGACGAAACAACTTTCTGAGGCACACACAAAAAGTTAGCACACTGGTACATGCATCCAGGCTTCATTGTTTAGAAAATGCTGATTCCAGTCTTTAGTTTCTGGGACTTTTAATAAGTCATCTTTGCAGAGACGAAACAACTTTCTGAGGCACACACAAAAAGTTAGCACACTGGTACATGCATCCAGGCTTCATTGTTTAGAAAATGCTGATTCCAGTCTTTAGTTTCTGGGACTTTTAATAAGTCATCTTTGCAGCGTTACTGTTGTAGCAGGGCTTCTCTATCAGAGACGGTGTGTATTCTATCAATTGAGAGCTCCCAGTTTTCATTAAAATGAGTTCAACTTCCTGCAAGTCCCGTAGTCTTAGAATGTCTTTGTCCTTAATATGGAGAAAAAATTGTACTGGTTTATAAATACCACATGAAGTTATTAAGATAAAAGCTTTAATAATATTGGCCAGGATCTTGGGTTCTTGCCTAAACTCATAAGATATTTCTGCATTGTTTTCTCTATTTATGATAAAACTGAGTAAATACTTGAGACCTTTTTTCTTTTTTTGGTCCCATTTGCAGGGACCAAAGGGGACTATAGTCCCAATTTGGTGCGTCTCAAGAAAAAACATTAGGTCAGGGCTTTTTTTTTTAAGGTATCTAGAAAGTGTGATCATCCTGTCACTTACTGTTAGTTTACAAAGAAGATAGCTAGCCAAGACACCAATAAGAATTGCTAAAGGGGGGCTGGTTTGGATCCTGGGCACAGACCTAGCACCACTCATCAAGCCATGCTGAGGCAGCGTCCCACATAGCACAACTAGGAGGACCCACAACTGAAAATATATATGACTGTGTACCGGGGGGCTTTGGGGGAAAAAAGGAAAAATCTTTAAAAAAAAATTGCTAAAGGCATTTAGAAAGCTTTCTTTTTTTTAAGCCCAAAGAAATGAGATTTTTCTCCTGGCATTAAAAACTGAGGTCTGTATGTTGAATCTGGAAAGTACATAAAAATGCAAAATTTTATTTCCTGAGATTGCAAAGGCCAACTTGCTAAGCAAGTAAGAATGGGTTTGTGTTTTCTGTTCTGGGAGCCATGCCACCTATTGTTAACCAGTCAGTTTTGCAGAGGTTGGAGGGGCCATGTGTTTTGAACTAGAGTTTTAAATTTGGGCATTTGTGATAATTCAGGGAATTTCAAGGGGGGATGAATTGTGTGCGTCTGTAGAAGCACCAGATTGCAAATTACCTAGCTACCATATTGGACCATCCTGCAGTGAGAATTTACAATGTCTTGAATTTTGTTTTTATATTAGAAATGCAAAAGCTAAATGCTTGGCTTTACAGAATATAACTTTACCCACCTTAGAGCCCGGTCTGCATTTAGAAACTTGGATACTCTACCTTTCTGAGCAGTGTGTTTGGTAGCTTTCTGATCTTCTCCACTTGATCGGGGTTTATCCCCAGTTCACAGCAGCTCACTTGCAGCAGATTTTGATAACTCAGCTCCTGTCTGTTCAGTTCAACTTCAATAAAGTCATTTTCTTTGGGGCTCTGAATTCTGACTTTCAGCACCAGCTCTACATCACACGCAAATTCATTTGTAAAAGAAACAAAATACCTGTTTTAAAGCCTTTCAACACTGCCAGTTATTACAGTATAGATAATCCCAAGATGAACAGTTATTACCCAATCATCAAGTACATATCCCAACAACTGAATTATAAGTAGGGAGCTTTTATTGGCATATATAAACTTTGAATTATCTGAGGCTTTTCTTAGTATGTTGGGCAAGCTCTGGGATATATGCCCCATTGTACCCACTGCAAACAAAAAGCTTGCAGTTTGAAACCAGGCTAAGATTTTGACTATGCAGTGGATATTTAAATACATCGCCCAAGGGGGCCGGCCCCATGGCTGAGTGGTTAAGTTCACGTGCTCCACTTCAGCAGCCCAGCGTTTTGCTGGTTCGGATCCTGGGTGCAGACATGGCACCACTCAGCAAGCCATGCAGAGATGGCATCCCACATGCCACAACTGAAAATATACAACTATGTACGGGGGGGGGGGGGGTGGCTTTGGGGAGAAAAAGGAAAAAAAAATCTTTAAATACATCGCCCTTGGGCAACACATGGGAGTTGTTTGTACCATGTTGGTTATTTGGAAAGCTTCAAGGAGATGTGTAGCCCTGGGGCTCTGTATCCTTGAGAAGCCATTGTGCAGAGGTGCAAATCCTTCTGTGTGACTCCTACCACACCCCCATGCCCCACCCCAGGACTTCAAGGTAAGAGGTAGGCCCTGAGAAATAGGATAATTCTACCCTCTTTTGGAGCAGTGGTATTGAGAGTCTTAAAACTTACTGTCCTAGGAAGGGGCAGTATTGACTGGAGGCAGAGGAAACCAAAGAGTGAGTTCGGCTTTGCAATGTGATCTAGGGGCTGAGTCCTCACCTAGACAGGTATGGTTAGGTTTGGCATCATCACCTGGGTCAGTTGGCAGTGGTGGATTTGGGCCTTGTTTATTTTCACCTGAGAAAGGATTAGAGAAAGTTGAGAAACATCAGCACCTTGGCGCTTGGCTCTCTGCCAGTTAGGGGACGCTGGTGCCCCATCTCCACTTCCTGCTCCTCCTCCTGAAGGGAAAAACCAGTCCCAGAATGGGTAGTAATTAGGTTTAGACGTGAAGAATAATTTTCCTTAATCACCACCCAAATCGTGAGAAGGGGCTGAGGCAGTATTTTTAAGTGGTACGTTATCTGGGGAAGAAATATTTATGATCTGTGTGCTTAACTCAAGTTTCTGCTTAAATGTTTTCAGCACTGAGTGCTCTGTGTCTCCAGTTTTCTGGCAGAGTTATACAGTCAGAACGGTCCCCTTATAAGGAGAGGTTTTCTCAGCCAGAGGGAAGAGAGAGGAGTGGACGTTACAGAGTACTTTCCAGGGGGCCGGCCTTGTACATGCACCCTTGTACATGCTTACACCATCTATCCTGCCTGTGGAAAGCCTGCTCTGCACCAGGCACTGTGCTAAACCCTGGGGAGATGAGTAAAACAACCACAAAAACCAGAGTAGTCTCTGTCCTGGCCTTTATAAGTTAGCAGGAAAGAGAGATTAATCAAGTGACCTCAAGTAAATGTGAAAGCACCATTGTGGGCGTGCTGAGGATGAAATACACAACAGGACAGCATGGAAGGAGGTCAAGGACGTTCTCCCTGAAGGCTGGGCATTTGAGCTGACATCTGAAGGGTGAGCAGGCATTTCTAGATCCAGAGGGAAGAAAGGGAGAAGATCTTTCCAGGACCCAGAACAGTAGAAGGCCCTGTGTGGGGAGGGAGTGGAGCTTTTGAGAAAAGAAAAGCAATTGAGTATGGCTGCGGGGCAGAAAGCATGGAGGGACAGTGAGACCAGGCAGGCGAGGCCGGCGACGGAGAGACCATGGGATTATGGACGTGTACCCCTGTGTTGTCCATTTCGGTAGCCACTAGTCACATGAAACGAGACATGCTCTAAGTATGAAAGAAACACTGGATTTCAAAGACTTGTGGGAAAAATTTCATTGAAGTAAAACATTTCATTAATTTTTAAATATTGGTTATATGTTGAACTAATTTGATATATGAGTGAAGTAAATAAAATTTATTTTGCCCATTTACTCTTTTTAAATGTGGCTACTAGAAAATTTTAAATTACATATGTGGCTTACATTATACTTTTATTGGACAGCACTGGTCTAGGTGAAAGATTTTTGTCTTTATTCTGGAACAACAACAAGCCATTAGACAGTTTTCAGCTGTCATAATCAGACTTGAATTTTGGAAAAAAAGACAAATAGAAACCTCACTGTCCTCAAAAGAATCCTATGGGGTGTAGACATTATTGCCATTTTCAGACAAGAAAACAGGCTGAATGGTGAAGTAATTTGCTTGAGTTTGCTCCGTTAGTGAACAGCAGGACCTGGGGAGTGGAGCCCAGTGCAGAAGGAAAATGTGCAAAACGACTTCCCACAAGCTGCACCCCTAACTCGGGGCAGATGGGCCACCCCTCAGGAATTGCGACCTCCCCACCTGAACACACTGGTACCTGGTTGGGGGGTGAGAGGTCCCCGCCTCCTCTCTGCCCAATTGCCCTCAGAACATGCCCTGTCTTCCCCATCTCAGATCGCAACTTGTAGGCATCAGTCCCCACCAGGGGCCGAGGGTGACAGCAGAATGAGGGACTCGGGGGGAGGTTATAGCGGTGGTGGGGTGGGAAGGGGACAGTGGGCTGGGAGTGGCACCACACACGTGAGCCAAGGCTGCAAGCTCCCAATCCCCTAGCACGTGCTCCATTGTCCCATCTAACTTCACTTACAAAACAAAGATAAAATTACTAAAAATTTCAAACCAGCAAGCACAGAGCATTTAATCTCAAGTGTGGGGCCTTTCTGAATGCAGGATCCTGCGCAACTGCTCTGATGGCAGGCCCATGAAGCCGGTCCTGCTTAGGGCTCAAATCATGCTTTTTCCACACTGCCAAATGCCTCCTGCCCAGCTCAGCCCCCACCCAGGACAGAATGTCCCTCCCCTTAGTGCACAGTCTCATTTTCGCTCTTCCACTCTCACTGAGGGCCCTAGAGGGAGCTTAGCGCTGGGGTCTGGAGGGCTGAGGCCCCTCTCCCGGGCAGCCCGTGTAGCAGCTTGTCCTCAGCACCCCAGAGACAGCATATTTGAACCTAGACGATGCCTTCTCCATGTCTCCACTACTCATCCAACACAGAGCTCAAGAACTTTCCCCAGCCTGGCCTACCATGTTTAAAAGCATCTTATTTTCTGATTAGTTTGTCAGATTCAGATACCCTGTGGCTAGACAGGGTCTCGTAGAGGTCAGAAAGCACGCCCTTTGAAATCAGGCAGATTTGGGTCTGAATTTTTCCTCTGCTGTTTGGTAGCTGTGACACCTTGGACAAGTTATTTAACCTCTCTGAGCCTCAGTTTTCTGCTCTGGAAATGGGATTAACAATCTCTACCCCACAAGGTTGTAAGAAGCAAATGAGACAGTGCACAGAAAGCCCAACTACTGGCACGTAGCCGGCAATTGCAGGCCGCTATTATTTACTAGCTGTTGATACTTGTTTCCCCCTGAAAGGACCCTTGGTCGACTCGCCCTGCTCTTGACCACACCACTGGCAGAGTAGGGGAGGGCCACAGACCCCTTGGCTGCAGCATCGCCCCTGTATCTCCCTTCCTCAGGCCCCTCCCCAATCCTCCTTGAGGACCATGTTGGAAACAGGACTTCCAGACTCACCTGCGGGCTCATCCCTCATGTCCTGTTGGGGTTCAGCCATGGTTCAGCTCTGTCGTGTCAGATCAGCAGCCTTCTCACACTTATGCATGAGCTCCCGATCGGTTAAGAAGCACTTTCTAAAGCCTCAGTGCATCTGCAGTGACACAAGAAGTTCTTCTCATTAGCTGGTGAGATAGGGCATTTTATAGATAGGCAAACTAAGGCTCAGGTATGTCGCATGACTTGCACAGGATGCCGCGAGTGAAGGAAGGGACTGAAATTCAAGGCTCCCTCCTCCCTCCTCAGGCCATGTCCACTGGGAGACAGTCTAGGCTCATAGTGCTCCCCAAGGGAATGGCGCCCCTAGGAGGGGAGGGCTGGGAGGCACAGCCAGCGGCACCCAGCCATACCCCAGCTGGGGGTCAGCCCTCCTTGGAAAAGGTTAGCAGTTGCTACCTCATGGATAAGAAAAGCCAGACCCCTAGTATCCCTGATTGCACAGGCTCCCCTCCTCCCCAGTTCTCTCTCCCTTTCTCCCAGCCCCTTCCTCAGTAGCTGTGCGTGACAAGAAAGCAGGAAGGCCCTGGCCCATACCTGGGGAGACTCAGCCTTGGCGAGGATCCTGGATTCCCTGATTCCAAACATCAAAATGGAGGCGGCAAGGGCTGGAGCAGGAGGTTCATTGAAGGGTGGGTGGGGCTGGGCAAAGTCCTGGGCAGGGCTGCTGCCTCAAAGGCCGGCTGAGGATAGGAACCTGCGTGTTTGGAGGTGACTCGCATTTCACTTAACCCTCCAGGGACAGAGGACAGCAAAAGGACAGGCCATCAAGGTGGGCCTCAGCATCAGAGTTGTAGGGAACCACGGAGATCGTAGCCCACAGGCTCTCAAATTTAGCTGTGTGTTGGAATGACCTGGGAAGCCTTAAAACCCGCGAGTGTCTGGGCCCCACTCCCCAGCCAGCTCATTTTAACGTGTGGCCAAAGTTGAGAACCACTCATCTGGCCAAACTGCTTAAGGTGTAAATGGGGAAACAGAGGCCCAAGAAAGGGAAATACTCGCCCACAGTCACATGGGCAGCCCCGCACAGGCCTGGGGCTAGATCTGGGCCGCTTGGTTGCCAGCCTGCTGCCACCTCCCCAATATGCGCTGCAGCGCCTTTCTGCCAAGAATGGAGGAAGGGGGCCCCCTGTAGAGAGGAGGAAGCAGTGGGGATCCACCTGGCCTGACCTCCTAAGAATGGGGAAGAAAATGAACTGTGGCCAGCCTGGCCGCCAGGGTGTGGTCAGCCATAAACCCAGCCATCCTGCACCTCCTCACCCGAGCGGAGAGGCCTCAAGGCGCAGAGGGACTGGAGATGACAAGGCTTTCGCGTTGACAGGGAGCCTTCGTCCATTTCCACTTCACTCCCCTGCTCTGTCCATTCATTCACTCACTCCCCACTCACTGATTCATTCACTCAACAGTACTCACTTGTTCTTGTTTTTCTCTCTCTCTTTTTTTTTTCTGGCCTGGGATACAATTCAGGATCATGCATTGCATTTAATTTTCACGTTTCATAAATTTCTTTAATCCAGAAGAATTCTTCAGCCTTTCTTTGTTTTTCATGACATTGAGATTTTTGGAGTCCAAGCCAGTAATTTTGTCTTTTGTCCCTCAGTTGGTTTCGTCTGATGTTTCCTTGTGATTAGGTTCAGATTATGCACTTTGGCAGGAATACCACAGAAGTGACGCTGGGTTTGCCTTAGTGCGTGGTGTTGGGAGGCATCTGTGGGTTTGGACCACTTTAGGGGATGGGAACTTTATTCACTCGTGGAAGGAGGTGTCTGCCAGATTTTTCCATTGTAAAGTTTGTCTTTCTCCCTTTGTAATTAATATGTAGTTTATGGGGAGATATTATGAAACCGTGCAGATGCGCTGTTCTTCAAATCTTCACCGTTTAGTTTTTAGAATCTGTTGAAGATTTTGGCTTGAATCAGTTGTTACTATGATGAGTGCAAAATGGTGATTCTCTAATTCCATTATTCTTTCTACACTCATTATTTGGTATTCTACTGTAAGAAAGAGCTTTTCTTCTCATTCATTCATCTATTATCAGTTTGGACCCATGGATTCTTATTTTATTCAATGAGTTGTAATTCATTACTATCATTACTAATTTTGGTGTTCAAACTATTCCAACTTTGTACAGTATCTGCTACAGCTGTTTCCCATATCCTGTGACATATCTCCGTCATTTTATGAGCACATTCTTACTTTCTGGCACATCAAGATGTTCTAGGCTCAGGGCTGGCCCCGTGGCCAAATGGTTAGGTTCGCGCACTCCGCTGCGGCAGCCCAGGGTTTCGCTGGTTCAGATCCTGGGTGCGGACGTGGTACTGCTCATCAGGCTGCGCTGAGGCAGCGTCCCATATGCTACGGCTAGAAGGACCCACAACTGAAAGTACACAGCTAGGTACCAGGGGGCTTTGGGGAGAAAAGGGAAAAAATTTAAAAAATCTTAAAAAAAAAAGATGTTCTGGGCTCAACTTGTATTTTCCCTGCCCTAACCCCAGAATCAGTGATTTCTCCATGGAGCCAGGTTCCTGTCAGTGGAGAACGGGTATACTCGTTCCTACAGGGATGTCAAGAAGAATGCTGCTTGGCCCTTCCAGTGGACAGAACTAGGAACACACATACTCACATGCACATACACACATACACACATTTATCTATTTCTGCATATATATATTTAAGACCACACGTTCATACTGATACTTCCAATTCCATCCCCAAGCCACAGGGCTCTCCCAAGCTTTCTTCAATTCCATATTGTAACTCTCTTCTCCAACAGTGGGGAATCTGGTTCCTAACATCTTTAATATATTTACTCATTTGCTCCATTCTACAACACACAGAAAGTAGTTCCAGAATTGCTCATTTGAAATACCCTTAGGTTCATTGCTTGTGTTTGCATTTTAGGATTCTTCTCAATCCTCGTTGATATTTTTCTGAGTATATAAAACACTAACATGGTTCTAAGAGTCAAAACTGCACAAAAATTTATATTTTGAGAAGTGTTATTCAACCCTCCAGCCCTTCCATTTTGCTTTCTTCTATCCCCTGTAGGAAACTGATCTCCTTAGTTTCTAACTTATCCTTCCTATGTTTCTTTTTGCAAAATTAAACAGATAGATGTATATTTTCTTTTTCTTTAAAGATTTTATTTTTCCTTTTTCTCCCCGAAGCTCCCCAGTACATAGTTGTATATTTTTAGTTGTGGGTCCTTCTAGTCATGGCATGTGGGATGCTGCCTCAGCGTGGCTTGATGAGTGGTGCCACGTCTGTGCCTAGGATCCGAACCAGCGAAACCCTGGGCCACTGCAGCAGAGCACACAAACTTAACCACTCGGCCACAGGGCCAGCCCCAGATATATATTTTCTTATTATTCTGTTCTCACAGAAAAGATAGTACATGTATTCTCTTCTACTTTGCCTTTGTTTCACTAAAAAATATATCCTGGAAATTATTCCATATCAGTTCATAGAGATTTTTCTCACTCCGCCCCCACAGTAGTGTGAGTATCCTGTAGTTTATGCAACAAGATGCTTGTGTACAGGTATTCAGTACGTTTCCAGTATTTTGCAATTATAAACAATGCTGCTCCAATTAGTAATCTTGTGCCTGTGTATTTTTTTTATTGTTGGAAGTATATATTCTGGCTAAATTCCTAGAAGTTGGATTGGTGGGTCAAAAAGTAAATGCATGTGTAGTTTTGTTAGCTAGTGCCAAATTTCCCTCCATACGTGTTTAACCATTTCCCATCCCACTGGCATATACGAGAATGCTTGTTTCCCCACAGCCTCGCCAATAGTGAGTTGTCAAGCTTTGAAATAGTAAGAGATGGCACGTTAAAATGTAGATTTTACTGTTATTGAGCTGTGACGAAGCCAACAGATCAGGAGACAACTGACCTTGAAAAGATAGTTTGTGACTCACAGTTCCCAAGGCAGGAGGTAGGGGGCATGGCATGCCACCCAGGGCCACACAGAGGAGCACCGGGGTTGGTCAGGAGACAGATGGAGGGGAAAATGTGGACGAGAGCCTTTATTTTATGGAAAGAATGGATGAGACAGGGTAAGCAGGCTAAGCGAGTTTAGGATTGTCTAGTTTGAATAATTTCACTGGGCTCTGTGGTGTAGGGGCTGCCCCTAGTTGTCTGGTACCTGGCCCTGGGGTTGATTAGGGCAGGTGGATAGTGGCCCAGAGTGTATGAGCTTTATATCCTGCCATGTTTGAATTCTTTTATTGTTTTAGCTTTATCATTTAGTAGGTCTTTTTAATTGTTGCGAGGTAATTTTTTTTTTTTTTTTTATTGCTGAGGAAGATTCACCCTGAGCTGACATCTGTTGCCAATCTTCCTCTTTTTTTGCTTGAGGAAGATTAGCCCTGAGCTAACATCTGTGCCAGTCTTCCTCTACTTTTTATATGTGAGTTGCTGCCACAGTGTTGACTGACAAGTGGTGCTGGTCCACACCTGGGATCCAAACCTGCCAACCCAGGCTGCCGAAGCAGACTGTGCTGAATTTAACCACTATGCCACAGGGCTGGCCCCCTGAACTTCCTTTTTGACTGAACAATTCATGGTGGGTATTTTTCCGTGTTGCGTTATACCAGGGTTTCTCAGCTTTGGCACTGTTGATATTTGGGGCTGGATCATCCCTTGTCAGGGGCAGTCCTGGGTACTGAAGGATGTTGAGCAGCATCCCTGGCCTCCACCCACCAGATGCCAGTAGTGCACCTCCACCGTATGGTAATCAAAAAGGTCTCCAGATGTTGTCCAGTGTCCCCTGGGAGGCTAATTTGCCCCCACTGGAGAGCAACAGATTTATACAGACCTACCTTTTTTATTGGCTGCCTCAGAGTATCCCAGAGTGCGGCTGTGGAATCTTTTCGCTAATTGCTTATTGACACACAGTTGCTTCCAGTCTCTTGCGAGGGGCCTACCCAAACACTTGCATAAGTGTTTCTACAGGACACTTCCTAGAAGTGGGATCGCAGGGCGGACGATTGTACCGATCTTGGCCGCTACTGACGGGGCCCGGTGGAGCCCAGTTCACTCCATGCTGGACGGCAGTGGGAATTAATCTTTTCCATCTTGCCAGTCTGATGCTGTTTGTAAGCAACGTCACTTCTTATTTCGTTCTCTTGTACAATTGTATTAACATTTCTAGGAAAATGGTAGATAACAGTAGTGATCTTGAGGAGCCCCCTTCTTGGCTCTGACTTCAGCAGTGTGCTTGGAAAAACTGTGATCCCATAGACAGCTGTCTGTACATCTCACGTCTATATGTAAACTCACTTTCCAAATGCTCTGCACTGGGGGGGGGGGGGTCTTCATGTTCTTTTTGAACACAAGGTTGTTTAGGAGAGAGCTTTAAAGTTTCTAAGTGGTGGGGGGATTTCATTTCTAGCTTTATTATTTCTTTCTAATTTTTCAATTGTAGTAGAAAAAAATGGGGCTTGTAGGTGCTATTTCTTCTGGAATTTACTGAGATTTCTTTTGCAGCCCAAGTCAATTTTTGCAAATGTTTATAAATATTACATTACTACCAGGATGTGAGCCACAGCACAGCAGAGATTCTCCCCAGCTCCCCGCTGTGTCCCCAGGGCTTTGAATGAACCCGGCACACGGTTGGTACTCAGTGTAAATTTGTTGAAGA